CCCCCCCCGTTTTGGAACTCAACATCCGACCCTGAAACGAGCCGTTCACTTCGGTGACCTCATACTTGTAGTATTCTGCATTTCAATCTATCCCCTAAACCCTAAACCCTAAGCCCTAAACCCTAAACACTAAACACTAAACCTACAAACCCCTGTAGGATCCCTGCTTCCATTTCATGTTCCATGTTCTTTTCCATCTGATTCTCCATTACTGGCCCTAAATCCAGAAATAGCCCCTATAATATCCCTAAGCAACCACTATATAGCCCCAGTTTCCATTTCATTTTCCATTTTCTTGTCCGTTTAATTCTCCATTATTGGGGGTTTAGGGTGCCTTAGGAGGGGACAGGCCGGGTGACGTGCAAGCACCGCATGAACCCAACCCTACTGGGTTGCTGTTAAGGAACTTAAACTAAGTGACCATAATGTGGGTATACAGTAGATAATAGGGTTTCCTTAATATAGGAACTCAATTTAAGTTCCTCAACAGCTACTCAGCCTGTTGAACCTATGAGCTGTAGTCTAAACTCCTCGTATCCCCCTTCATAAACCCTGAAATACTCTCCTATAGCATCATCACTTATGTAGTCCCCTTTCAAAGAGTTTGGATTACAGCTCACAGGAACCCAACCTTGAGGAGCCGCTGGCTCTTGGCACGTTTATGGCTTGAAGCCAAAGTACAAAGCAAGCTTTATAGGAATATTAGGGTATATATTGGGGTCATATAAGGACTATTGGTTGCACACCTTCTTTATCCTAGGTTTAGGGTTTAGGGTCTTCAAAGTTGTTCTGGAACGTGTACTCTCCACGACAAGTTAAGACAACTTACAAGCATGCTCATCTGCATTTACGAGCGCAAGCCGCTTTTCCCAAAGGATCCATGTAGCTGTAAAGTATAGACTTGGGCCCTCAAGTAGCTGTAGGGAACCCTTTTGGTCCCTAAGTATTTACTATATACCCACCCTTAGCCCAAAACCCTATACTACAAGTACTATATAGCTACATGGACCCTTTAAGTTTGGAGTTATTCCAGTATCTCAGTCCCGAACTCATTGTGCCCTTTGCAGCCCGAAACTTTCAACTCGCAACTGAGGAGGCAGCGGGCCCTGGAAAACTGAAGCAGGATTAGGTTTAGGGTTTAGGGCCTAGGGTTTGGGGTTTAGGGTTTGGGCAGGATCATTACGTGCAGCATATCAGGATGCCCTTTGCACCGCAAAAATGAGTCTAGATCTTCTTTGGTTGATATGGAGCATTCGTGGAGACAACATTCATACACATGTATAGAGGGGCTTGCGGCTATCATGCCCTGATTCACCACCGGGCACTTGATTCTCAGTGAGCACCAGATCGTCACATTCTAGGACGTCTCCTTCTCTTGAACGCAAGGGGTCCAAGCAGAAAGTTTAGAAGCAGGCCTTTTCAGGCCCAGAGTATGCATTATACTAAGCAGTCACTATCAGTTTGAGGTCTGTTGTGAGGAATACCATAATTATACCAGGATTCTAAAGCCAGAATATTGGTCATTAGCTAACTTTCTAGTTTACTTGGACGCTTAAGGGGTGAAGGAGCAAGGGGCCACCGCCCACCGCCGCGCCAGGCACTCACCACAGGCTTCGTACTAGACAGGCTCGAGTAGTTCTCCTTGTGCGGGTTGCTGAACAGTAGGGGTACCAGTAGGGAAGGGATGGATATGACTCTAGGAATTACAGAAGGACTGCTGGAGGATTGTATAGACTTGCTGCTACAGATTCTAGCTAGTGCGGTTTGGTTGAGCTCCCATGATCAGAAACTAGACTCCAACTGTCTGGATCGGACGCGCGGGTAAAGTGTTGAGGATTTAGGAAGGTTTTGCTCTGCTTATGGTTGAAGGGCTCAGACTACCGTCATCAAATGTCATCAAGATAAATATTATAATACTCCCCTAGGCCAATATGATCCCCAATATAACGCTCTTTCAGAAGTTTAGACTATGGCTCATATAGTCATCTAGCCCACGACTTTGGAAGATATCCGGACCCTCACGCCTTAGATGTCCGGAGCCTGCAGGACATGATGTCTGGGTCTCAGCAATGTCACTGCGGCTTCGCGTTTACAACACTTGCATTTATCATACGAGGACAAGAACCAAGATGCGCCTAATACTTTCTGACCTTGTAGGCTTCTAATTACAACTATATGAGAGCGCAACGGAAACATGTTTGTCAACATTTCCCTACATACTCTGTCTGCTACATTACCTCCCTCAAGACACTCCCAAGACTCGAAGTGAGGAAGGAGACTGTTCGCCTGGTTGGCGGCCGAGGTCAGGCATGTGTTGAAACTGTGGGGCCCTTTGTGGCGCAACCCTAAACCCTAAACCCTGAACCCTAGACCCTAAGCCCCAAACCCTAAACCGCGTTGCTACAGGGATTCTCAAGCAGTGGCCTTGGGATTTTCAAGGATTTCGGATTGGTCCTGTGGCTGCGGGGTGTGCGAAAGAACTCCTGTGCTTGAAAGAAGGTTCTCCTGGTTTAGCCTGGAGTATAAGGCTAGGAATTACATTACAAATACGAACAATCGAAATCATAATCGTAATATGGTAATTTTTAATACAAATATTGTAATATAGCAATAACAGTAATAATGATGGTAGGGCGAGGCTCTCCTGCGTTTGGGTTGGAACATAAGGTTTGGGGTTTCCAGTCTACGTATATACTATATGTGCGCTTATTTGTTTGTGCATGTATGTATGTGTACGTGTATATA